ACGCCTTTTGGAATGGAAAGGCGTAATAACGCCTTTTCAAAGGCGTTGTTACGCCTTTTTTCGCGTTATTACGCCTTTTCAAAAAGCGTTATAACGCCTTTTAATTTTTTTTTCTCTTTAGATTGATCCTAATAGGCTTTCGTAGCATTCTTATGTCTTCAATTTACATACATATTACACAAATTATGCATATGATTTAAAACAATGTTTAAATATAAAAAATGTTTATGTACGAGTTTTTTCTAAAAAATGTACATGTATATAAACAAACTCTTAATGTCCTCAATGTAGGACATAAGGACATCGTAAACATTGCATCACCCATCTCCTACTGAGTGAAAATACATAAGAGGCACACAACGGGATTTACGTAACATGTTTATAAAGTATTGTGAGTAAATTACCTAGTTTTAAACTTCTTATATATAAATATATGTATCTTTTAAACATTGTGTATTGGTACTTTTGTCTTTGGATATATATATTCTATTTTGCCCCATTATTTCATGTCTGATGAAGACAAAGTCATGAAGACAAAGCAATTATAAACAATTTATAGTTAGTCAAAATTTACTTAAAACACTTAAGCGTCTTAGAAATATTTAAACGAGTTGTGTGCAGTTTATATGAAAATTACAAATAACTCAAAATAACATTTGCAACAAGATATACCGGTAGATTACTAAATCGGCATGAAATGCACCTCGTTATATACGCTTGCACCTTGCTTGATGTCAACCACACAAACAAAATCAAAAGTTTATACCGAAATTATTTTTTAAAAACCAACTGAATTTTGTTATTTTTCTATAATTTAAAAAAAATACCAATTGCAAATACCGTCACTTACCTCTTTCATTTGCAAAGGAGTAGATATAAATCTATACCTTACAGTTTTCCACTAGAAAATTTATAATATAGTGACGAAGCATCTGCATTTTTGTGAATCGGTAGGTAGGTTCTAGAAAAGGTGTACGCTTAAAATAGAGAGAGAGAGAGAGAGAGTAGGATAAAAAATGCTTTTTTTTAGCTTCTTCCACAAAGAGGGGGGGTCAAAGTTACCAAGGGGTCGAAGGTTTTTCTATTCATTCTCAGTGGATTATTATTATTGCACGTCAACCCCACTCCCTAATTCGAACAGCAATAGCATTGTCATCGTTCAACTGAACCATGATAGGCACACGTCTCTTGAAGCAGCTATATGAAGTACAGTTTGATGTGCTGGACACATAATTTTCCGTGAACTGTTAAAATATTTGAATAGAACAATGATCTGTATTTTCATACATTTTAAAAGCTTTTTTAAGTATCCCAAGTATGCACTGGACACCTCTCAAAAGATGAAATAGTATTTAGCTATAATAATAGAACTGCGTTGAAATCATCCTCTTTTACGCCTCTTATATGGCGGGAAGAAAATCACGCGTGCGCACGGGCTTCAAGTACGACAATAAACAGAACACCATGGCGAACAGTGGGCAGCAAGATCTGTTCAAAAAAGGGGAAAAAATCAACTTTGAAAATAATCGTGGTGCAAACAAAGAAGCTGATGATGAAGTTCAGGTAGATCTTTTGGTAAGTCAGTGAAAATTAGGAAAAATTAGCCATCCGATCATTTTCTTTTTCACGAAACATGGAAATCGCAATGACACGTGTTTACAAATTTTGTACACAAAAGCTTTCACGGACCTCGCGATCAAACGCGTATCAACCCGTTTTAATACATCTGGCTTTTTTCCATGCATGTGCTAAGAACAAAAAGGTAAAAATTATTGTTATCAATATGGTATTATTATGATGAATAAATTAATTAACTCCCCATAAACAATGTTTCTTCCTTATAGTAGATACACGATGCTGAATACCGTCCGTGTAATTATTTAAAAAAAAAAATTCTGTAATAGACCGATTTATTAATTATTTCAAACCCTCAGTCCGCATTATTTATTTACAAAAAGAAAGAATGATTTAGAAGATTTATAATACATATCGAGACTAGACTCGTAGCCGGAATAATGCTTACCATGCATGTTACGTCTGCGCCAAACCTGCATGAAGCGCATTATCGGGTCACTGCGGGGCCAGAAGTCAGAGGTCAGCAAGTTCATGGATAATAATTACATGATGCTGAAACTAAGCAGTTAGCTATATGATTGTTATGGAATAGATTGCAAAGTCTATGAAATAGCTGTCAGAGCAAGACACTTATTTTTTTCCAGAATATACTAGATTAGTGTGTGCCAAAATATACTTAGTATAAAATAGTATAGTTTCTAAATAAGAATTTGCACCATCTCTTTCCTTGCAGAAAAGTTGATATGAAGTTCAAACTTTGAAAAAGCAAGAATTTATTGATATTGAATGAATTCAAATTAGAGGAAATGCATGACAGCAAATATTGTACTGAATTTTCATTTCCTATTTTACTAATTTATTAAACTTCAGTTGAAACATGAACATCTTTTTTCCCGAAATACTGTTGGCAGTATAATAGCATCCAAATATAGACTTAGCTTTTTGACGCTTTGGTATTGCCGTAGGGGACATTAAATTGGCTAATGTTATAATAGTTTGTTAATTTCATTTATGAGAGAGGTACTGGCATGGATAAAACAGAGTTTTTATTTACTGCTTACGAACAGAAAGCTTCCTTTAATTATTTTATAAAAAGAATTATTTGAAGCACACATTTTGTAAACATATTTTAACATCATAAAATGCAGGTACATAATTTTAAAGTAATTTTACCTTTAGAAAAAGTTGAAAAATACTGCATGGTTGGTGCAAGAGCTTATCTGTATTTTACATTTCAATCCATTGGGACAAGATTTTTCTTTGGTTACCAATGTTTCTTGACTTTGACCTACAAGCTTGAATATTCATTGGTTACAAACACTGAGTCTCATGACCTTGAGGTAGATTTACATTTGAAAAAAAAACTTTGCCCATAACTTCTGAAGGTTTGGTGCTGGGCTTTCATAATTCACATGTTTACTCTTTGTGATATGACCTTCCTTTGTGTACCATTATTATATTGACCTTGTGCCTTGACCTTCAAGTTTCTCTTATCTAGAAAAACTTTAACCTTAGCCATGAACATATTGTTCAGAATTAATTTAGAAGTTCCATTCCATAGCCAATTGAGGGGGGGGGGGGGGCTTCTTAAGTTTTTATTTAATTTTCAAACCATTTTCAGTTTGCATTTTTTGCTCTGACATGCCCAGTTGATATAACAGACTCGGAAAGAGAAACCAAATCCTCAACCCCTTAAAAAAAAAACAGAATAAGCACAAGACCATGGGAATTAATGAACAAAAGTATTGAACTGGGAGGGATAAGTTTACTAAGTTAATGAAATCAAGTAGTGATAGGTATACATGTTTATGTGGAGAGTTTGAGGAGGTTGCAGAATTTGATACATTTCCTGTGGTGAGCTTCATTTGTCTGTCCTGACAGGTTCTGTCCCACCCAGAGGTGTTTCACCAGCTCGCCTGTCAATTTTCACTGTCTCCCCTCAAATAAATTAGTCCCGGGATTGAAGAAGGCCAGCTGAATGTCATTTACCTGTGTATATATTACAGTCAAAAGTTAAATGACAGTCTGTACATGTAGGTAAAGAAAATATAAGTACAGAAATTATTTTGAAATGGAAAAGAGGAAATTTGTCTTAGAAGTCATATATTGATATGAAGTTAGAAAACAGTCCTTTGCAGATCATTATTATTGTGAAGACACTGAACACATTGCATTCTACCTTTTCAGTCAGACTTTTGTTTTTTCGGAGACAGACAATATGAAAGCTTAAATTTGATAGATTATTTAGTATTAAAAGATGAAGAAATTATAAAAACATGATCAATTCGAAAATTTTAAAAACCTTGCAGTTAAATCAGATTCTTTGAATAACAGGCTTAGCTGCTTGTGCATCAACATGCAGTCAAATAAACAACTTGCATTATAATTTTTTAATAGAACATTCTATGGACAGGGTCAAGATTTTTTTTTCTTTTCAGATTACATACTGCTTTTATGTGAGAAATTAATGGGAAAGAAATAAATGAATGAAAAGTTAGATCTGGTTATCACAGGATGTCGCATTGAAATCAAGAAATGTTTAAGGTAGTTTTCCCACCTTTGAATGGGAATTTGTTTGAGGCCAGAATGCTATTGTGTTGGTAACATGTTACGGCATAAAGCCTCCGTTTTCTGACCACTTCTTCCAGATTAATCCTTCTTAGGGCGCTCAATTTTTTCAAATGAAAGACTTGAAAATCACAAACACAATACATTTAAATGGCAGAAATATTGACCCTGTATGTTTGTTTTTGCGGCCTTTTATTGGAACAGAAATATTTGACACCGTACAATTTATTAAAATGTAGGATTAATGTAACACACACACTTGCAGGCTAAAATTTTGTAGTGTACATCAGATACCCTAGCCACCTTTGTTGTGACTGGATATAATTCATAGTTATGTGCATGAACTGACCCTAGTTGTAGTGTATGTTCATTCACCTTTTTTAGTACTCACTTGTGAATTATTTTCTGCCTGAGAGGTTTTGGACCGCCCATTTAGGGCCAGTTTGTAAGGTGACATATATACTTTGGGATTTAGACTTGTATTAACAGACTTGAGCCAGGACTTCCAAGGAGACATAGCTTAAAAAAAATAACAAAGGTTCCTCATTTACATGTGATTTTAAATTAAATAAGCTTAACTCAGTAGAGAATCTAATTGGATTATAAAGAAGACAATCCTTAAGAATTTTTGCCAAGATTCTTAAATCAAAATATTTATGCTGGTTGCACCTTCTGTGTCTACATGCTCAATAGTCTGGACTTGGGAGATATTGAAACCAAGATTGTGCTTTGCTGTATTAAAAGGAATTTTGGCTCTTAACCATATTAGCTGTGATAGTTATATTTAGCAACTTCAAAAAATAACGCAATAGATAAAACCCTCTTGCGTATGTTTTGACGTGCAAAGAACAATAACAAACAAACGGATTGCATCATTCGAAGGTGTAACAGCTGTTACCGATCAGTTTTGACTTTCAGCTGTGAAATAGTTGGTGTTTTGTGTTAATGTAATTAAGAGGTCAACACAATTAACATTTCACAAGTGAGAAAAAAAATGAGTGACACTAAAGAAAAACGATCCAAAAGTGAAGGTAAAATACAAGCAGGGAGTCTGAGTCGCTTTCCCAATGAAAACAATCGTAGTATACCCGATATAGCAGCCAATGTACCTCTCATGGAATCCTCAAATAATGAGCAGGTGAGAAAGGAGGGATAAATCTTACATTTCACATACACATGGAGATTTATATTGATAACATTTAAAAGGAGTATGGTAATTCAGTTTTTTTTTGTTTTTTTTTTTAAATATCATTTGTAGTGTTTTCCATAAGAGCAAATTGACTGCTTCAATTGACAAAAATGCCGCTTTGAAATAAAAAAAAAAAGAAGACAAAATTGTTATAAGGTCAGCAGAGGACCTCAGCCCTTGGCCTGTTACAACTGGCCTTTAACCCTTTACTTTGAAATAAAGGGGAAAAAACTGCATAAGGGGTTTTAAGTTTTATTCTTCTTTTTTTGTGAATAAATATAATACACTTGTCCTTTGGATGATCTGGCAAATTCTAAGGGTTAAGAAAAGTTATTAATAATAGATGACATCTATGAACATTGTGTCTATAAAGATAGCTTAGTTTGGACATGTATTAGTTCAATGATTAATGGATTTTCAAAATTTTAATCCAAAACTGTTATTCATCAGATTTACCTTAAACCAGCCAACTTGATTCAGGCCAACTTAGGGATTTGTAAAAAAAAAATTCCTTTAATTGGAACTGTGCCCATTTGATTATATGAATGTCAACAATACTAACCTTGTATTGAACAATGGGACATTTTTGAAGAACACTTACTACTACAAAGTGTGAAATATTTTTTTGATCTGTCATGAAATTTAAATTTAAGACTTTGTTTTGATTTTTGTTTTAATTTAAGGAGAGAATCAAATCGAGAAAAATTACCTAAGAAACTGAATCCCAGTTCAGGCTCCTATGACTGAAAATTGATATCATTTTTGAAGAAAATTTAAAAGAAAAAGAGTTTGATATCAGATCTACTAATTAAATATCACACAAGCATATTGCAGGAAGGAGGCTGTTTTAATATTCTATATTAAAATTTGTAGCATTATTTATTTCCTCATTCTTGAAAAAATTCCTCAATTTTACTTTTTTATTATTTTTTTTTTTTAGAGAGGAACTGAAAAATATCATGATGAGAGTGAGATGGCTGCAGGGAAGAAAAATAAATGGGGTGTGGCATATTATAAGCAGGAGTACCCTGAGAGGGACCTGGAGGATGATGTGGTAAGCATTACCCCCACCCCACCCCACCCCAATCCAACACACACACACACACACACACACACCAAATACAGACTCCTTTTCTGAGCTAAAGAGAAGAAAATATGCTATATTGAACTTTATTCCAAAAAAAAAAAAACCATGAACCTATCATAAAAAAAATCAAGTAATGCACAAGGAAAGGAAGTCAGCTGTCAGCTGAGTAAATCTGTGATAAAATGATCAGCTGAATAAATCCATGATAAAATCAGTCTTTTGTGAACTTGTGAATTTACAATGAAATATCATGTGTTGTGTGACTTTTTTATGTTACAATATACTCATACAGTGTCATAGATACAATGAATCTGATCTTGCAGGTAAATATGACTTGAATAATTCTCCAATTTAATGAATGTAGTTTTATTATATTATTGATTTTTTTTTTTCAAATGATATTAACCAGGTATAAGTATTTTACCTCAAATATGATAAATGATAATGGCATTCCTCTCCCCACAGGCATAACACATTTAAAATTTGTACAGCTGTATTGTTTAAAAAAATACATTGCAGCATTGATGTATAGACACAGCTAGAGCATCATACTGGTGTTTCTTTAAATAAATGACCTTTGATGTTTTGTAGAACCCTAATGAACAGTTGGTCCAGGATGTGTCCAGTACTGCTGTCCTTACCCCACTGGACGATGACCTTGTGGGCGAGGTCAAAGAGCTGGAGGACCGTGGTAACTGGTCAGGACGATTTGATTTCCTCATGTCCCTCCTGGGGTATTCTGTAGGGCTGGGAAATGTATGGAGGTTTCCCTATCTAGCTTACAGCAATGGAGGAGGTAATTAAAACTACACTGTGGTGTAAAGCAACAGCGTCTATATGTACTACTCATGATCCTTAAAAAAACAGAGAGAAAAGCTGTAGGTATAGCTTGACATTTATCTATCAGCTTCAATAAGAAATAAATTTGGATATCCGTACATTGCATTCAAATAGGTAGAGATTTCGGAATTTATTAATTCCATATACTGAATACAAGAGAAGCATGTGAAACAATGGGAACTGGATTATATCATTTTTTAAAACATCATACAGATAGGAATAATAGAAAATTACTACTGTAAACAGATTGTTAATATGGTTCAAAAGTGCTGTTAAAGAGTAGGTCTATAATCTTTGATCCAGCTTGTCCAGAAGTGTTTTGATATAAAGTATTTGAGTGCGTGTTACTTTAGTTATTAATAACAGCTGTTGTTGGCAATAACAAACGAGTTAGATATGTTAACAAGAGGAATAATGTGTTGAACTTTTGCCCTGATTATGAAGTCGGTTTCGAATAAAAATCAGTTAAACCTTTGAGGGATTAATCAGGTAAACAAGTAAAGATAGATTAACTCCTAAGAAGCATTAAGATGAATTAAAAAGTAAAAGTGGGAAAGTCGTCTGGAGAATTACTACAGAATCTATGAGAATTCAGAAAAAAATATAAGGTCCAAATTTTATGCAGCTGCCCAATAGCATTGGAAAAAAGAAATGCACAATTTGTCATATATGCAGAAAATTTATTATTTATTATTTTTAAAAAAAAAAAATTTAACTATGCATATATGAAGCATAGCTTGGTATTTTTTTTACCCTCTTTAGATAAGGAGGTTCACTTTTATCTGTCCGAAATAAAAAAGTTATTAAAGTATTGGGCATCAGCAATTATACAATTGAAATGTATGTTCTATTTCCAGGAGCGTTTGTGTTTCCTTTTGTGCTGATGTTACTACTGCTAGGAATCCCTCTCATGTTTCTGGAGCTGGCCCTGGGACAGTATGCTGCTCTAGGACCCTCTGTTGTCTTTGACAGACTCTGCCCACTGTTTCATGGTAAATTTGAATATACACTGACAGATTGTCATTCATAATGATGTTGTATGTAATAAACTAGATGGTGTATGATACCAAGTACAAAAATATTTCTGAAACTGTTTTTGTTTGCAATATTTGAGGTGTGATTTGGAGACATTTAGATGACATTCTCTCTTTACAGGCATTGGTTATGGAATGATCAGTGTATCTGGAATAGTTTCTTTATACTATACAGTCATCATTGGCTGGTGTATTCTATATCTCTTCACATCCTTTACAAGTGAACTGCCATGGGAAAAATGTCACCCTGAATGGGCCACAGAACGTAGGTTAATCTAGGGGCTGTAATCTACATCGACATTATTTATCATAGATGTAGTGTTATTGTTGTTTAACAATATTTATATGTTATATGTACAATGTAAATAACATCTTCCTCAAATGATGAAGTAGTAACACATGAATTGTGTTTTCTTCAATTTCTCTGTTTTCAGTACAATTATAAACATACTTTATTCTCAGATTGCTATTCCTACAAGGATGCGGATTCATGCCATGAAGTTCCAGGTCAAGTTTACTATAAACAGGTCTGCTACAATGCCACGGTAGCTATGGAGCGGAATCTCAGTCTTCTGGCCAGCAACGTCACAAAGCATGCCCCTGCTCAGGACTTCTTTGAGTGAGTTCCCCCGTTTGTGTAAATATTAAAAACTGTATGCTGATAAATTTTCGCCCCACATTTTATTTTCGCCCCTTTTGCCCTCGTCAGAAGTGGGTGAATTTAAAACGGGGCAGATTGAAAGTAAACAGTATAATATCTTGCAACAAAAATCTTTCTGGCAGATTGAAATAAACAGTATAATATCTTGCAACAAAAATCTTTCTGAGCGAATTTAAAACAGGGCAAACTTGTTTCCAAATATGAGAGGGCAAAAATAACATGGGGTGAAAATAACCCTGTATACAGTAATCCCTGAGTAAAATTTGTATTCAGTGAATTGAGGAATGATTCATTCAATATTTAATAGTTCTATGCCGAAATATTCTTAGAGTGTCATTTGAGTACAGAATGTTAATGTTTAATATGCTTTCAGGCGCGGTGTCCTATCTCAGTCTGGTGGTATCGAGGACATTGGAGTTCCACAGTGGAAAATCACCCTGTGCTTGCTTTGTGCTTGGTTAATGACTTTTGGAGCCCTCAGCAAAGGTGTCAAATCTACTGGAAAGGTACGTATATGTCCCTTCTTTCAAACTTGTTTGTTTGAACATTTAGTGGTCATAAATTTATAAATGAGAAGAGGTATAACTTTAATATTAGTTATGTGTATTACCTATGAAAAGACCTCTTCAAATGCACTAATTTTTTTTCACCGTAATCTTGAAATCTGGTTTTTTCAAAAATTTATCATTGAGGATTATTTATTTTTAATGAGAAAAATAGCTATTATGCATCTGACACCTTTTACAAGATCTTTCTTAGTTACTATGATTTTTGACCCACTGACGCTCATTTTTAAAGTTACTTCTTTCTGTTGACAGGTTGTATATTTCACTGCCCTGTTCCCCTATGTTGTGCTGTTTATTCTGTTTTTCCGTGGAGTTACATTACCCGGAGCCGCTGATGGCATCGTCTACTACCTTACACCGAGATTTGACAAACTGGGGGAGGCCAAGGTAAAATCTTACTGAATATACAATTATTATTATTCATGGAACACTAATTACGCTTTCAAACTTTTTCATTGTTGAAAGTCTTGGTCTTTTAATTTCCCATCATTGCTTTGTTCTTATGTAAGGTATGGTCAGATGCTGCAGCTCAGATCTTCTTTGCCCTCAGTCCTGCCTGGGGTGGACTTATAACACTGTCCAGTTACAATCAGTTTCACAACAACTGCTTCAAGTAAGTTGTACATAAAATAGTCCAAGTATTCAACTCATGTTTTTTTTTGCTGTTTCATTTGTTTGAGGAAAATAGCCTTTTAAGATGGTTATGTTTAATTATGTTGTGTTCCTTGTGACACATCTCTGAGTGCAGTGATACATGTATTCAATTTCTGTTGACAGGGATTCCCTGATTGTTGGCATTGGAAACATCTGCACCAGTATATTTGCTGGCTTTGTCATCTTTTCCATTATTGGCTACCTGGCCCATGAGCTTCAGATGCCAATTGACAAAGTTGTAGATCAAGGTAGGACTAATTGCAGTCCTATTTAACTGTGTAAAGTTACCAGGTACTTAAGATTGACATTTACTAATAAACATCACTCATGATATATGTAGTTCTGTAGTGTGAAAAAGAAGATAGTTTTCAAACCAACTAAATTGTTTGGAATTTTATAGAGTTTAAAACAATACTTTCTTAGTTTAACTAAGTAAGTTCCATTTTACCAGAATGAATCTTGGTGTTGTAGGTGCTGGACTGGCATTCATCGTCTACCCTGATGTCGTCACCAGGTTACCTATCTCACCATTGTGGTCTATACTGTTCTTCATCATGATGATCACTCTGGGTATGGGAAGTGAGGTGAGATGCTTCCTACAATCTTATCAGTAGAAAAGCAATTCTGTTATGACATACTGTAAACGTATTACATTTGGCTGTGTATTCTTTTTAGCGCTTTTGGCGGAAAGCAATCACCGCTAATTCAAGTACAACGCTAAGTACCTCGCACATACACCTATAAAGAAGAACATTAAGATATGCGCTAAATCAAATCCACGCTAACTAGTTCAAAATCCAATTTCCGCCAAATATCGTACACGCTAAATATAATATATTTACAGTAATTATACCCCCCGCAAACGAAGTTTGGGGGGGTATATAGGAATCACCTTGTCAAATTTCCGTCTGGAAAATCGTGTCCGGTCCATATCTTTCTTACAGAGGGACATTAGAATCTACTACTCCACAAAAGATTGCTCATAACCTAAGGGTGTGTCATGACCTTGTAACACAAGGTCATTTGGGGAAGTTCAAGGTCACTGATACAAAAATTTCAATTTCTGTGTCCGGTCCATATCTTTGGCTTATGGATAAACTTGGTAGGTTCTCATTTCACAGTAGATTGCCCATGACCCAAGGGTGTGTCATGACCTTGACCCAAGGTCATTTGGGGAAGTTCAAGGTCACTGGGAGAAAAATTTCAAAATTCATGTTTGACACATATCTTTTATGGATAAGCTTGGTAGGTTCTCATTTCACACAAAGATTGCCCATGACCCAAGGGTGTGTCATGACCTTGACCCAAGGTCATTTGGGGACAAGGTTACTGGAAGAAAAATTGCAGTTCTGTCTATATCTTTCTTATGGATAAACTTGGTAGGTTTTCATTTCATATAAAGATTATGACCCAAGGGTGTGTCATGACCTTGACCCAAGGTCATTTGGGGAAGTTCAAGGTCACTGGTAGAAAAATTTAATAATTCGTGCGGTTATGTCTTTATTTGAAGGATAAACTTGGTAGGTTTTCATTTCATACAAAGATTACCCATGACCCAAGGGTGTGTCATGACCTTGACCCAAGGTCATGTGGGGAAGTTCAAGGTCACTGGAAGAAAAATTTAATAATTCGTGTCCGGTCCTATCTTTCTTATTGATAAACTTGGTAGGTTCACACTCAAAGATTGCCCATGACCCAAGGGTGTGTCATGACCTTGACCCAAGGTCATTTGGGGAAGTTCAAGGTCACTGGAAGAAAAATTTTATAATTCGTGTTTGATACATATCTTGACAAAAATTACTTCTGAAAAACCCAGCGGGGTGTATTTTGTCCCGATTGGACAGTTCTAGTTAAATATTTCTTTTAGTTTAATAAGGGTAATCTACAACTTAAAATATTAAAATAAATACAATGTGTATGTCATTTACAGTTTGCCTTGCTGGAGACAATGATGACTGCTGTACAAGATACCTTCCCACAACTGAGAGCCAAGAAAACTTACGTGGTAGCTGTGGTGTGCTGCATTGGATTCCTGGGCGGCCTGTCTGTAACTTGTAACGTAAGTGTAAAACATGCCAAAGATCATGAGGTGAAATTGTTTGTATTTAAGGTACTAGATAAACACCTGCGCAAGCGCGGGAAATTGAATTTATATATAGTTACCATTTACAACAGAAAATATATTGTAATTTTACTGACAGACTACATTAAGGTATATGAATAGAATGGAAAGAGAGGTAACTCTTGCAACATAAATGAACTGGAATTTGAGTTAGATTATTTTAATTATTTTTGGCAGGGAGGGATGTACATTCTACAACTGATGGACAACTACGTGTCTAGTTGGTCAGTCTTCTTAATGGCAGCACTGGAGAGTATAATAATTGGATGGATTTATGGTAAGTTTAAGGGAAATGACTGTTAAATAAAGATAATAAAAAGAGTTTGGGATGGGTGTTGACAAGGGAGGAATTCATGATAGATATAGCATTTACCATTTGTGGATCTCTTAATTTATTTTCTTATTTAAACTTGTTAATAATGATGTTAGCTTGTTTTAGAAAAGAAGAAGTTACGGTTTTAGCTTTATTGTGCCCTAAAAAATTAACGTTTTCAAAAAGTTTTGAAATTTGCTCAAATAATAATTGAGTTATAATGACTGTGATAGATAGGAAAGAATATGGTATAAGGGGGTACCATTCCAGGTATATGACGTCATTAACTTGATGCATTTCTCTATTCTAAACAGAAATGCCTCATAATGATCTGTTTCAAGGGTAATTTTCCTTCAGAAAATAGTGTCCACAGCCATTGCCTACTTTTATATTTGGATATGTTGTGCAAAATTCAATAAAAAATCACATATATCAAAATCTTTGTGGGCGATGCCTGTGGACAATATTATCTGAAGAAAAATTCCATTGAAATTGGTGCCTTCTGCAACTTTTTATGAAAATACGGGAAAATGCACATGTTTATGATGTCACCATTAGCATTTAGAAATGCATGTGAGAAAAATAATTTATATGATTTCTCTGCATGGAATTTCTTTGATTCAGAAAGCATGAGTTTTCATTTTTTACATCAGTTTCATAAAAGAAAATCACGGGGCAATATTTGTATTGAAACCGTACCTTGTTCTTAGAACTAATATATATATATTTTACCAGGATAGTGTTTAATTCTCTTTACTGTTTTGATAAGGTGGAGACAGATTCATTCAAGATATAGAGATGATGATTGGAGTTCGGGGACCACATTTTCAAAGATTCTTTAAACTCTTCTGGAAATTCCTGTCACCCATGACTCTAGGAGTAAGTTAAATATTTTGAAATGTAAATTCAGAAGTTCCAGTGATAGATGCAATGTTATTATTAATGCATCTTTCGAAAGATTATTACATGATTTTCAATTAAATATTTCAGTTTGTATTTCTGTTCAACTTGATCCAGTACAAGCCTTTGGAGTTTGGAGATTATATATACCCAATGTGGTCTAATGGTATTGGATGGGTTCTCTCATTAATGCCTATCATCTTCATCTCAACCATTGCAATTAGCAAAATTCTTAAGGCACCCAAGGATAAGTCTATTTTGGAGGTAATTCCCTGATGTCTAATTTCAAGCCATTTAAATTTGTATTCACGTAAAAGAATCTTTATTACTTATATGCTTCTACTCTATCTTATATTGTTAACCCATTCACTTTCAGAGAGTGAGGCTGCTGTTAAAGCCGACCCCTGCCTGGGGACCAGCACACAAAGTGCCGACCTTTGACATCAATGAGCCAGATGAGGGGATTATTTCCAATCCTAACTTCAATACCGTTATACCAAACTATGACCCTAATGATCCAAAAGTGTAAATCTCTTCATTACAATTGGTTAGAAAATTCTGTAAGAAGATTGGAAAAAAGTCTTTGCTCAACCTCAGAAGTGAGAGTGTATTTCAATGCAAGATTTTGGTGTATTATTTTGCTAACTATCAGTGGATTATTTGACTGTTTTCTTCTTTTAAATGTTACCTGTGATTCATTGTTGAACATCTTATTTAGTGCTTTATTTTAAAATCCAGTTTTTAAAATGATTTTACAATTTTTGCTTTTAAAAAATATTTTTTACATTGTTTTGGCTTTTAATTAGTTGATGCATACTTTGTTAATGGTATTAGTTACCAGAAATTGTTAGGAATACTTTTTCTTGTTAAGAATGAATTTTCAGACTAGATCTCTGTGAAAGAGCTAGAAAACTTAATTTGGTTTTCTGTGATGCTTTGATTATTATTGAGGTACAAATTTTTATTTATTTTGTATCTATTAAAACATGACTGTATTTGTGTTCATTGTGGGATTAAGTGTACAATTTATACTGTTTGCAGATAAATTTTAGAATTATTTTCAGCCTTTGCACCCAATCTTTTTTTTTAATCAAATTCATAATCACTGTTCAATGAACATGCATTATTTTGGCAGCTTTTTATGATCTTTACTGAGTACACAGAATTGTCAGTCACTGCTGCTGAGAGAAGGCATTGTAAAGAAACTGTTAAGAATCTATGACATATTATTTTTCATTGTCTATGGAATTATGGTTTGATTTTATTTTAATTTGTGCTCTGTTTGTTAGAGGATTTTTTTGTATTAACATATACATGTGCATATATCATTTGAAAAAGTTAAAAAAAAATAAGACCAATAAAATATTGGATTCCATTCGATCAAATGTATTTATTTGTGCCGCGAATTGAGTGCTACTATATTTTTGGGTTTAAAGTTTTGCTGTGTTCTTAGATATTACTCATGCATATTATGATGTAATATTTTCATTGAAAAGTCTGCATTAATAGTTTTATTTTCTGCTCTTAGTTGCTTTAGGTATGTGGTGCCAAATTTTCAAGTGCTTTTTTATGTGTGTAATTTTTTGGGAAGGGTTGGGGGGACATTCAATCCAATCAAATTATTTTTCTGCACAGTTTTTTTTTTTTTTTTTTTTTTTTTTTTTTTTACAAAGATTGAATTGCATTTTAATTTTTAGTTTTTGTTTCTTTATTAAAAAAAAAATATGAGGAAAACTTTTAAGTGCTGTATGTATGTACAATGAAGTGATAAACATCTTTTAAAGAACAATTCCAAGGGAGATTGAGTTGTGTAAATATGGTAAGATATTCATGCCCTTCTCATATTTGATAACTGAAGCATTGTGAACAATTTCATACAAAATGTTTATTTAATTTCACTGTAATGATTTTAGGTGATAGAATCTCATATGTATATACTTGGATTATGCATTTATTGCTTAAGTTTTGCAAATGCATTTAAGTTGTACGTATTTCACCTGAAAAAAGTAATCAAACACTTAAAGTCTACCAATAACTTATCTTGGGTAGAAAGTAGTTTCTGTATGTTTTAAAAAGTGTAGACTGAAAATATGAAATTTTAAATATAAACAATGAGAATAACTCTCCATCTACAAAACATTTTTCTGCTAAATTCAATGTTCATTTCCATCATTTAATTTCAAAGGTTTATTTAATTCATGAATATTTAATACATTGATACATGTGCAGTTGTTAGTTTAACTTCTGTAGAATGGCATGGTGAAAGCTATTGAAACATCCTAATTGTTGTGTAGTCCTCAGAATTTAATGTTCATTTTGATAGAGCAAGTCATTTGAATATCTTTTTATATGATAAGGTCTCTGTATATTTCTTTTTTCCTTATTTGATTTTACAATAAAAGTGGATTTTTTGTTGTTGTTGCAAAATAACAGCTCAGTGTCAAACAGATATCTTTTTATTTTTATCTATAATGTTTTTCCAAAGAGGAGCTGTGACATACAATTATTTCTTGTAAACATTCCTTAAAATTCCTGAGTGTGTGTTTGAGGAATGAAAAAAATTTCCAGTTGATTGCTATTTATTATCCAGGGTACATTGTAATCTACATTTTCAAGTCATCCTCAGTTTTTTCATGGATATATCCTTTCTAAAATAAGTATTTGTATATATTAGATTTGACATATGTAGAGAGTAAGTAATCAAGCAATCGCTGTATTAATTCTTTTTCTAGAAATTAAAAAAAAAAATCCTTAATTTTAAAAATCTATGCACTTTTCAGACACAAGTTTTTATTTGACCTTCGCATAATGTTGTTCCGTATCTTAAGGATATGACAGAAGATTTTTAATGATGAACATATTTTGAAAATGTATCATGATGATAATTTTATTTCAAGACCCCCATTTCTAATGATCATATTTGTTATTTTAGTCTTTGCCAGTGTTTATACTTCTGATATTGACCTTGAACTTTTTGATATGATTTTGGTCAGTTTTCTAACAGTATTAGCCTTAATTTGACATTTGGCTAACTCTGCTCTTTGGCATGCTAAATATTCCAAAAATAAAGCTAACTTCAAAGTCTTTCTTTACCACAAGACAAGACCAAAGGTGACATGAATGTGTTGTAAATACTGACTTTTATTTTCAGTGCTTCATAATTATACAAGTGCTAAGTTGTGTGTCATATTCGATAAAAGTTTAAGTATGCTTTTGTTTCTGCTAAAGTTGTTGAATGAAGAAAAACCTCTTGTTGTAGAAGTGCTAATTTTCTGTTAGAGGCATTGTTTTGGTTGTTCAGTAGCCAGCCTAGTCATTATTTATAACTAAATCACATTTACCTCATTCATTAAAGACCCTTCATATCAGAATATTGTTTGGTAAAACTATACCTGTTTCTCTTCTGTTTTGTTAAAATTATCTACATGCATTTTGTTTTAAATTTACTTAAACCAATTTTTATTTTTGAAAATAAAATGAATTGGGTAAGTTATATCTTGATTCCAGGCTTGTAATAAAAGGGGTCTTCTCATACGTTTAGTTTATTCTCATATGTACCTACTTTTGCATTTTTCATTGCTAAATACTTGAAGATTGTTAAACTTGTTCAGCATAATGTTGGAGGATGAACCTCATGAATTTGGTGTTACTTGTAAATAATGGTGGTGGTTTTAGTTCTCTCTGATTTTTGTTGTATCCCATTGTTACATGAAAGAAATCTATCTTGACGTTTACCCTACTTCCCAGAGTTTGCAATTGAATGAATTTTATACATTGACAGTATTTTAAACAAAATTTTTTTGTGACTTAAAAAAATATACAAATAGATCTGATTTTATTTTGAAATGTTCTTTCTTATATCAAAAAAGGCATTTTACCTTTAGAGATGCAAATGAAATAAGAGTGTAATTTTTTTGTCATTAACAATATTAGCTTTGTGTGTGTATTGAAACTTCAAAAAGCACAAAATTGATATGTAGATTGTTTAATACTTCACAAATAAAATATCTAAATAATTCTTTGTGATGATTGTTATTTATGTAAACTAGAAAATCAGCATGGATGTATGCAGACAACGGTTAGCTTTAATTATTCTGCTGGTGTTGCATAATAATTGGTCCACCTCATGTAATGGTCTTAGTTACCAAGTATAAGGTGGAAATCTGGTACTATATGCATTTTCTTTCCAAAGTTGTCATTTTTTCTATATTCGCACATTCAAGACAATGACTTGCATAGTGTACAAGTGAGAGATGACATCATAGTAAATGCCATTTTATTACATTGGAAACACTAAATGTTATAATATAGCTGCTCATTTTAAAACAACCGGAAATCTCTGGAGAGCTCTTGTGCTTTATTAAACCTTTATTTTAAAAATAAAAGTATAACATCTAGATTTGAAATGTAATAGCTTTGGTTATTCCGATAAATAAAATTATGATCTGTGCTGAGAAAATTTGTGCATTATAATGAAAAGCATTCTGAAAGAATTCTAAGCGTTCTAGTTTTAATAAACATGAAAACTGCCCTCGTGAAATGAAAAACCTCATAAAGTACACTGTTTACCCTTTTATTCCATGCTACATGAATTTGAGGCAAAAGCACATGTATTCAATGGAGGCATTGCGTTTGAATTTCACAAACTATAATCCATAGACATGATCACACCAAATAATCTGATTAAATTCAGAAAATGATACCCATCTACTTTAAAATTGTTGCATCAAATATTTTTTGTAATATTACAGACTAAAAAAATCTTAAAGAAAATCTCGAACTTACCCAAATGACCTCAAATCAAAGTCACGTAATATTTTCAGGTGATGTGGATTTTTTAGGCCCCCGTATTCGAGGATTCGGGTTTATATAGTTTTGCCCTGTCCGTCCGTCTGTCTGTCTGTCTGTCCTTAAAACTTTAACCTTGCCCATAACTTTTGACTGTGTGTGCTATGGCTTTCATATTTTTCAGGTTCATTCCTTGTGACAAGGCCTTTCTTTGGGTACCACCAAAGTTGACCTTGACCTTGGAGATCGACCTATTTTTAAAAAAAACTTTAACCTTGGCCATAACTTTCGAACGGTTAGGGCTAGGGCTTTCATACTTCACATATGTAATCCTTTAAACAAGATATATCTCCAAAAACCACCAATTTTTGACCTTGATCCTGGAGTTTGGCCTGCCTTTAAGAACTTTAACCTTGGCCATAACTTTTGAGCAGTTGATGCTAATGCTTCACATTTGTATTTCTTTGAGAAGCCTTATTTTTGGTACCGACATACTGAGTATTTGATTTGCATTTGAAAAAGATAAACCTTCGTTATGTTGTCATCAGCATTTCACAAACACATCTTGTTCTATTCGTAAAGGCTCTTTTTTTATTCACAGATGTGACCAAGAGAGGGAGGCATTAATCATTTTTTTACAGTGACATTGAACATTATATAAGTTACTTGGGTCAAGGTCATATATAATCTTTGGGTGAAAAATGAAGTTCCAAATTTCTCTCTTAGAAAGTTACAGATATACACAGAGTATGCATTTTTATGCCCCCTTAAAGTTTCGGGGATATATAGTTTTGTCCTGTCTGTACGTCCGTCTGTTTGTTTGTTCGCAAAAACTTTAACCTTGTCCTTAAATAATTTTGAGTGGGTGGTGCTATGGCTTTTGTATTTCACATGTGTATTCCTTATATTTGACCTCTTGACCTTAAAGTTTGACCCACTTTCAAAAAAGAAAATACCACACTTTAACCGTGACCATATAACTTTTGAACATTTGGAGCTAGGGCTTTCATATTTCACATGTGTATTTATTGTAACAAGACCTTTCAGTGGGTATAAATATTTTTGGACATTTTGACCATGAGCTTAGAGTTCCCCATTTTAAAACATTAACCTTGGTCATAACTTTTGAAAAATTAGAACTAGTACTTCCATAATTCACAGGTGTATTCCTTGAAACAAGATCGACCTTTGGGTACCAACACCTTTGACCTTTTTACCTTGACCTTTGGAGTTTGTCATGCATTTGAGAAAAGTCAACCCTCGCCATAAGCTGCCATACAGGGGCATTAGTGTTTCTCAAACACGTCTTGTTTAATCTGCAAATCTTGTAAAATCGATTTCGGGTCAAGGTCCTGATAGAACTGTCAAAGGCACTTGGCATTTTGTTATTTTTCTGATCACCAAAATATAATCCCTGTCTAATTCTGTATACAGGAGAATTTTCGCCCCTTTCGCCCTTTTCACAATTAAGTTGGCGAATTTAAAACGGGACGAAATCAAAGAACACGGTATGAATTCTTAAACAGAACTGGGATTGGGCGAATTTAAAACGGGCCAAATTTGTAAGCAAGTGTAGAGGGCGAAAATAACAAGGGGCGGAAATAACCCTCAGGTAAGAAGTACGCGTGAAATAAAAAAAAAACAACAAAAGTGAACCAAATGCTAGTTTCACAAAAGCATAAACTCTAAAACAGAAAGACAGTCTGGTGGGCAGACAAACAGAAAAACAAAATATAAACGTTCCCTCTAAGTCACGTGGACTTTTTACACTGAAGTACTTTTAATTAGTAAAGTATTCCTTAGAGATGTAGACAAATAACTTACACTGCTTTATGAACCAAAATGCTTATTATCTAAATGCAGGATTAT